TTTGACCAACTGTAAAATTCTGCCATAGACATGAGTCCGCATTAAAAAAACCTATTCACAATTGAAAAGGCATTTGTGTTCGGATACAATGTTGCCCCGTTTTTATGATGGTGTTAAAGAGATAAAGATACACAAAGACCATGGAGGACAAACAAAAAAAAAAAACTGGCAATTCCTAACTGCCTTAGAGGCGAATGGTGCAACAAAGTTCCGTTAAGAGACAAAGAGATAAGCAAATAACAACAACATCAAGCGATGTTTGCAACATGACATTCTAAATACGAAATACCCATGGCTAAGTAACATTTTTCCATGGAAACCAAAATCTATCCTCATCTCCGCCAGAAAAAAACACGATGTATGATTTCATATTTATATCGAAGATGTTAAATTTTTTATGTTCGGAATTTTTTCTGCTGCTTCTTCTTCTTCTCTTAAAATTCCACATTTGAATTAATGTTTGTTTTGTTTAGTTATTAAAAGTTGCACATTTGTTGCAAGAGCAACAACACCAGCAACAACCACCACCATTTGCTGTTGTTGACAAATGCAGATTATTGCTGAGGAGCTGCTGCTCCATTGTCAAATGCTGCCTTGCGGATTATCTTCATTTGCCCATCCTCATCCATGAGAGTGAGTGGTGATGGTCGTATCGCTTGATATCGCCCACACATAGCTTCAGCTGCATTACAAGTGTTTTTCGTTGTTGTTGTTGTTGCTGTAGTTTTTTGTTGTTGTTGTCTTCAACAGCGAAAGTGTGGTAATGCCTGTCATTTTAACCATTCATAGCCGCATTCATTTGTGGCTTCGCGGAATATATGCGATTATTTATTTTTTGTAAAAATTATGCTGAGCACATCATTATCTAAAGATGGTTGTTGTTGTTAGTTTTGTAATTATAATGCTTGAGAATGTGTGTTTTACATTAAAATTAGAGAAAAGAAATATCGCAAACTTCGGCTGTTCCGAACTGTTTATACCTTTCATAATGTGGTGGACGCATTTAAAATACCTTAAATCGATCGGGATCTTTATATGGGTGCTAAATAGTCTGCTAGTAGCTTGAAAAGCCAAGGCCTATGTACTTTAACCTCCCGAAATTACAGCGGAACCTTTGAACGCAATCAAGAACCTATACTGAAAATCATCTCGAAATAAAGTATTTAGTCAACATGAACCCAAAATGAAAAATTTCAGGCTTTTCGATTGGAAAATACTCCTACAACCTACAAAATACTGAAAATCGATGCGGGACTACTATATGTGGAGCCTATATCAAATATATATTGAAATTGTTCTAAAAAAAGTTGTTCACCCTCCAAGAACCCATAAAGCCAAATTAAAGCAACTTCGGTTGGGACAATTTGATTAAAGACTTCAAAATACCAAAAATTGATGTGGAACTTCTATAGGGGAGGCCATACCAAAATGTTGCACGATATTGATAATTTTTGGTAGGAAGATTTGGTACCCATTGATAATCCAAAATATAAAATTACCCACAATTCGGTTGAAAAACGTGTCCAAGCTCTCTAAAAACCCGAAATTTTGGATAAAAAAAAAAATTATATATAGGACCTACCCTTAAAAAGTGGACCAAAATTCATAATTTTTGGCAGGAAGATTTTACACCCAATTAGAACCCAAGATACCAAATTACAGCCAATTTGGTTGAAAGAAGTGTCCAAGCAACCCAAAATATCGAAATTCCGGAAATATAGTTATATGGGGTCCACCTCGAAACTTGGGCCAATATTGATAATTTTTGCTAGGGAGATTTTCTACCCAATGATAATTCCAAATTGCAGCCACAACGGTTGAAAAACGTGCTCAATCTCCTCCTTACTTACTTACTTTACTTATAGCCCCCATATGGCGGTACCTTCTAAATTTTGTTGCTCAATCTCCTCCAAAACAACAAAATTTAGAAGGTACCGCCATATGGGGGCTATACCAAAATTTTACCTGACATTGATAATTATTGGTAGGAAGATTTGACACCTAATGAGAACCTAAAATATCAAATTACAGCCAATTTGGTTGAAAAACATAGTCAAACTCCACAAAATACCGAAATCTGAAGGTATCTTCAACCCCAAAATTCGAACTGAAATGTAAAAGTTTTGGTAGGAGAAAATCCATCAAAAAAACTTCTCTACAAAATCCGCACTTGTGGTTCTGATAGACCTAAAAACCTCTTATTTGAAACGTACGCACTTGTGGTTCCGACAACCCTTCAAAAAAATCTTCTTTAAACTATGCATTCTCGTGCCTCCAACAATCCTTACAAAATCGACGCTGGTGACTCCGACAGCCTTTCAAAAATTTTTCTGTACAAAATCTGTACTTGTGGTTCCGATGGATCTCGAAAAAAATCTTCGTTAAAATATTTATACTTGTTGCCTACAACAATCCAGCCTGTGGCTCTGACAATCGTTCAAAAAAATCCGAACTTGTTGTTCCGGCAACAAATCTTCGCTTGTGGTTCCGGTAGAACTTAAAAAAAATCCTTTAAAAAATCAGAACTTGATGTTCCTATAGACCTCAAAAATAGTCCTCGTTTACATATTCCGGCTTGTACCTCCGACACCCCTTATGTTTTTCTTTAAAAAAAATCGACCCTTGTGTCTTCAACAAACATTAACATTTTTCTTAAAAAAATCAGGCCTGTGCCTCCGACAACGCTTAAACATTAAACATGCTCCTGTTTTCAACCATTCTTAAAAATCCAAGCCCTCCAAAAAGTCTTTTCTACAAAATCCGCACTTGTGGTTCCGATAGACCTTAACAATCTAGTTTAAAAAATAGACACTTGTGGTTACGGGAACACTTAAAAAATCTTCGTTAAAATATTCCGGCTTGTACATCCGACATCCTTAAATTTATTCTTTAAAAAAAATCGACCCGTGTGTCTTCGAAAAACATTAAACATTTTTTCTCTAAAATAATCAGAGATTGAGCCTCTGACAACCCATTAAAAAATCGTAGAACCAAAAGTCTGCGAAAAACATTATTTTAAAAAATCCACCCTTGTGGTTCCGACAACACTTAAAACAAAGTTCTCTAAAAATCCACCATTGCAGCTCCGACAGTCCCTAAAAAAATCTATTGTAAAAATCCAACAGCCCTTAAAAAATGCATATTCTACCTTCGACAATTCTTGAAAAAAATCAGGCAGTCCCTCAAAACATTTTTTTTATTTACCTCCGACAACCCTTAAAAAATCAATCTTGTATGCTGTGCCTCCGAAAATCCAAACCTTTGGCTGTGTCAGTTCTACCTCCTACAGTCTTTTAAGTCTTCTTTAAAAAAAAATCGTGACTATAGCTCCGACAGCTCTTAAAAAATTCACGTCTATGGCTCCGATAGTCCTTAACATAATCTTCTTTTAAAATAATCAGGTCTGTGCCTCCGATAGCCCTTTAAAAAAATCTAAGCTTTTTTCTGAGCAAGTCCTTTCAAACAACTTCTTTAAAAAGATCGTGATTGTGTTTCCGACAGTCCTCGAAAAATTCTCGCCTGTTGATCTGACAATCTTTAACATAATCTTCTTTTAAAAAATCGAGGCCTGTGCCTCCGATAACCCTTAAAATTGCAAGCTTTTGTATAAAAATCACCTTTAAAAAATCGTGATTGTAGCTCCGACAGCTCTTAAAAAATTCAAGCCTATGGCTCCGACAGCCCTTCACATAATTTTCTTTACAAAAATCCACGGTTGTACCTCCGATAATCCTAAAAATCTTCTTTTAAAAATTCATTCCTGTGCCTCCGATAATTTTTAAAAAATCCAAGCTTTTGCCTCCATCAGTTCTTTAAAAAATCTTCTTTAACAAAATCGTAATTGTGGCTCCGACAACCCTTAGAAAATGCACGTATGTGGTTCGGGCAGTCCTCAATATAATCTTCTGTAAAAAATCCACGCCTTAAGAAATATAAGCGGTTGCCTCTGGTGGATCTTTAATATTTTTTTCTAAGTCGTGATTGTGGCTCCGACAACCGTTTGTGCCTCCGACAGCCCTTAAAAATAAACCTCAAAAAACCTTAAAATACAGGTTCGGATTAAAAACAAAAAAAATTAAAAAAATTTTTGAATAAATATTCTATAAAAAAAAATCCACGCTTATAATCCTTACAGTCTTTTAAAAATCTCATTTAAAAATCCCAGTCATATAACTCATTCAGAACTTCGGACTTCCAGACTTAAATCTCATTTAGACTTTATAGCAGATTTTTTTGAAATCAACGTTTGTAGCCTATAACTTCAATTTTTTTTTTAAATCTGTAGTCCTCCAAAAATGTGTTGCCCACCAAACAGCCTCTTTAGATCCAATGTCCGAATTACTTTGCACCACTCATTCCCCCTTAATGTGACTCCATATGTTGTGGCTGCTGCTGGTGGTGCCTCTGTCGGGGCTACCATTTCAAGTGACATTTCAAATAGACTCCTTTATTATGAACTCCTATTTTTTTTTCTTATGTTGTTGTTGCTTGTCATAGTCTATGAATTCGATGCAATGGCTGCACATACGGATCCATGAATGGAAAAAAAATCGCGCGATGGTAGTAACTGGTGGCAGCGATGACGAAGCCGATGACGACAACGTCTTAGACACCGCGATGTTGTTACGTTTTTTTCGGTCTTTTGGTGTTGTTAAAGGCATTTTAAAGACATATTTTTTATAATTTTGACATTTTGCATATCGTTGCCGTCGACGGAGACGTCGTCATTTATGGCTTGGTTTATTTTTACAAAAAATGTTTTTTTTTTTGCTGTTTGTTTTGTTTTTCTTTTGTGCAAAACTATAACATGAGCATTGGCTGACTGACTCGCAGGCTGTCTGTCTGACGGCCTGGTGGTGATGGTGGCGGCGACATTTGACGTTTGGTTTTTGTCATTTTTTCCATCGTGACGTGGATTGCTTTGGAATTGAAGTTTTAAAACTGGAAGACAAAAAAACAAAAAATAGACAAAACTGAGTTATCTGCCTGCCTGCCTTGCCAGCTCGATTACAAAGCCTGGTAGTGGGTCTTGAGCGAAAAAAAAGAAAAAATAAACCTCCACTCTTGTCTACTTGTTTTAGGCGACTTTTTGAAGTGAAGTTTGGGCTCCGCATAGGTTTTTGTTTCGATTCGGTTTCAGTTTTTTGAGTTTTATAAATAACATTTCTATGACATTTTGTTGTTCATGTTTTGTTTTGTTTTTAATATTTTATGTAGAAATTGTTGATTTGACTGCATTGCTGTTGTTTTGTGCGCCATGTAATGTTGTCTGCCGGCCTGCCAGCCATGCCGATCAGGCAGCCAGCCTGCTTAACAATAGCCTGGGAATGAGGTTAATTTGACTTGTTGGTTAGATGAAAATATTGTTCAAAAATTGCAAAAAAACAACAACAACAACAACACAAAAGACAATGTCTAATAAGTTTTTGTTTGTGGATTTAGTTTTAGTTTAAATTATTTTGTTTGCAATAATTTTTGGTTTTGGAAACAGCTTTAATTTTTCGGAAAATTAAAATAAATGACTGCATTTAAATGCCACTGCAGTTAGGCACACACACACAGGAATGGAATGTTTGGCTAATTTATTTTTTTTTTTTCGAAATGGGAATAATTTGAAAATTTAGTTCCCACACAGAAGAAAAATTGGAGTCGCTTGTAGGAGTGGCTGATTTTTGAGAAAAAATCAAGGATTTAAATACAATATTTTTAAGGATCCACCCTAGGCGTGGATTTTTTAAAGAATATTTTTTCAAGGCGTGGATTTCTTAAAAAATATTTTTCAAGGCGTGGATTTTTTAAAAAAATATTTTTCAAGGCGTGGATTTTTTAAAAAAATATTTTTCAAGGTGTGGATTTTTTAAAGAATATTTTTCCAAGGCCTGGAGTTTTTTAAAGAATTTTTTTTTTCAAGGGGTAAATTGTGTTAAAGAATATTTTTTCAAGGCGTGGATTTTTTAAAGAATATTTTTTCAAGGCGTGGATTTTTTAAAGAATATTTTTTCAAGGCGTGGATTTTTTAAAAAAATATTTTTCCAAGGCCTGGAGTTTTTTAAAGAATTTTTTTTCAAGGGGTAAATTTTTTTAAAGAATATTTTTCAAGGCGTGGATTTTTTAAAGAATATTTTTCCAATGCCTGGAGTTTTTTAAAGAATTTTTTTTCAAGGGGTAAATTTTTTTAAAGAATATTTTTTCAAGGCGTGGATTTTTTAAAGAATATTTTTTCAAGGCGTGGATTTTTTAAAGAATATTTTTTCAAGGCGTGGATTTTTTAAAGATTATTTTTTCAAGGCGTGGATTTTTTAAAGAATATTTTTTCAAGGCGTGGATTTTTTAAAGAATATTTTTTCAAGGCGTGGATTTTATAAAGAATATTTTTTCAAGGCGTGGATTTTTTAAAGAATATTTTTTCAAGGCGTGGATTTTTTAAAGAATATTTTTTCAAGGCGTGGATTTTTTAAAGAATATTTTTTAATGCGTGGATTTTTTAAAGAAAATTTTTTCAAGGCGTGGATTTTTTAAAGAAAATTTTTAATGCGTGGATTTTTTTTTAAATATTTTTTCAAGGCGTGGATTTTTTAAAGAATATTTTTTCAAGGCGTGGATTTCTTAAAAAATATTTTTTCAAGGCGTGGATTTTTTAAAGAATATTTTTTCAAGGCGTGGATTTTTTAAAGAATATTTTTTCAAGGCGTGGATTTCTTAAAAAAATATTTTTTCAAGAATATTTTTTCAAGGCGTGGATTTTTTAAAGAATATTTTTTCAAGGCGTGGATTTCTTAAAAAATATTTTTCAAGGCGTGGATTTTTTAAAAAATATTTTTTCAAGGCGTTATTAAGGCGTGGATTTCTTAAAAAATATTTGCAAAGGCCTATCCCCAGGCGTGGATTTCTTAAAAAATATTTTTTAAGGCGTGGATTTCTTAAACAATATTTTTTAATGCGTGGATTTTTTTTTAAATATTTTTTAAGGCGTGGATTTTTTTAAAAATATTTTTTTAATGCGTGGATTTTTTTAAAACTATTTTTTTAAGGCGTGGATTTCTTAAAAAATATTTTTCAAGGCTTGGATTTCTTAAAAAATATTTTTCAAGCGTGGATTTCTTAAAAAATATTTTTCAAGGATCGACCCTAGGCTTGGAGTTTTTAAAAAATAGTTTTCAAAGATCAACCCTAAACTTGGATTTTTTTAAAAAATAGTTTTCAAAGATCAACCCAAAACTTGGATTTTTTTTAAAAAAATTGTTTTCAAAGATCAACCCTAGGCTTAGATTTTTTTAAAAAATGTTTTTTCAAATTTTTTTTTAAAGAATATTTTTTCAAGGATCGACCCTAGGCTTGGATTTTTTTTAAATTGTTTTCAAAGATCAACCCTATGCTTGGATTTTTTTAAAAAATTGTTTTCAAAGATCAACCTTAGGCTTGGATTTTTTTAAAAAAATATTTTTTCAAATTTTTTTTAAAGAATATTTTTTTAAGGATCGACCCTAGGCTTGGATTTTTTTTTTAAATTGTTTTCTAAGATCAATCCTAGGCTTGGATTTTTTTAAAATTTGTTTTCAAAGATCAACCCTAGGCTTGAATTTTTTTTTTAAATTGTTTTCAAAGATCAACCCTAGGCTTGGATTTTATAAAAAATATTTTTTTCAATTTTTTTTAAAGAATATTTTTTCAAGGATCCAACCATGGCGTAAATTTGTTAAAAAATATTTTTTAACGATCCACCGTAGGCGTAGATTTTTTAAAAAATAATTTTTAAAGTATTTTCCTTTAAATATTAAATTAATTCATATTAAATTAACCTCAAAATAGATAATTATGATCTCCTCCGGTATTTGATTGCCTTCTTAAAAAAATCATTCAGTCATACAAATTCCATGGAAAACATCAGAGGGTCGTTCTGCTCAGTCTAGACAAAAGGCGAAAACCACAAAATGGTTATATTTCCAAGAAATTTGTTTCAAAACTTGAATTTTTTAATTCAGTATTTTATGCCGCAAAATGTATTCCTCATTATTCTCTGCTAGTTTGTGAACTAATTTTTGTTATTTTTTATTATTGGAATTTTAAATTTAATAAACGCCAGCACCCTAACCTGCACCCAATCTCATCATTGTTGGCAGTGCGAGCTCCAGCAGACCAAACAAAAAAATGCATACGAACAAGGAAATTCTTCTTCGTCGTCGTCTTCTTCTTCTGCCTTATGGCAAATATTTTATTGAGAAAAAAATAAAAAAAAACAACAACTAAGAAATAAAAATGGAATTCGGTTGCTGCTGCTGATTCTTCTTCTTCCTTGGGTGTCTGTTGTCTATCTATTTCATTGTTATTTGCCAACTATCGCTCCCGCATGACTGTGCGAAGGGCATATTCCACATTTGGGTGTAGTTGTTGTTGTTGCTGTTATATTTTTTAATGCACCTCACAGCATAATAATGGATTTAGAACATGCCATATTCCCATTCATTTATTTATGCATGCCACATCATTGGTGGCAGCGCCACAAACTATTGTCTGTCTGTAATTGTTCTATTAAAGTGGCAGCTACCTTCGTTGTGAAGCTCCAAAGGTTCCCCACCACCACAACATTATTCACAAGAAATTTTCCTATCTGCCCCAGGCCACCACACCAACGTCGTGAGTGTGAATGCATTTGAATCGAGGGATTTTGCGACTTCTTTGTGTTTGAAAACTTTCCTCTAAATTAATTTAAGTAATTCACATTAAAAAGAAGAAGAAGAATTTCCTAAAAATTCCGATTGAGTACTTCCTCTATTTATGGATATGGCTTTGCTACAAATGACTAATTTATGAGGGTGATTAGAAAAAAAAAGCTCAGCTAATCACAAGAAACGGAAATTCTAATAAATGGGAAAGCGGAAATTTTGAATAGATTTTTTTATGGAAAAAAAATTAATTGAAAAGTATTTTTGAAAAAATCCAAGACTTGTGTGGATGTTTGAAAAAATATTTTTTTCAAAAATCCACATTTGAAAAAATATTCTTTGAAAAATCCACGACATTTGAAAAAAATATTCTTTGAAAAATCCACGCCTTGTGCGGATGTTTGAAAAAAATATTTTTTGGGAGACTGGATTTTTAAAGAATTTTTTTGGGTGACCCTACAAGGCGTGTATTTTTTAAAATATTTGGGTGACTCTACAAGGTGTGGATTTAAAAAAAAAATATTTTTTCAAGCATCCGCACAAGACGTGGGTTTTTTAAAAAATATTTTTTTCAAGCATCCACTCATGGCATGGATTTTTTATAAAAATATTTTTTAAAAACCACGTCTTGTGTTGATGCTTGATTTTTTTTTTTAATCCACACCTTGTAGAGTCACACAAATATTTTAAAAAATACACGCCTTGTAGGGTCACCCAAAGCTATTTTTTAAAAAATCCAGGCTCTCAAAAAAAAAATTTTTTTTTCAAAAATCCACGCCTGGTAAAGTCTTCAAAAAAATAATTGTTCAAAAAATTCAAAGTAAAGTCCTCAAAACATATTTTTGTTAAGTCTACGTCTAATATGGGTCCTTAATTATACCCTTCAACACACTGTGGTACAAGGTATTATTTCTTTGTGCATATGTGTGTAACATGCAAAAGGAAACCTTTTGAGAATATGCATAGAATCACTTTCTAAGTCGATTTATGTATGTCCGTCCGTCCGTCCGTCTGCCATGTTAAATTGTAAGCAAAGAACAGGTCGCATTATTTATTCGAATTGGATGAAATTTGGCACATCTCATTTATTTGGCCCAAGGACGACCAATATTGAAATTGGGAAAAATCGGTTCAGATTTACATATAGCTCCCATATATATTTTTTGTCTGATTTAAGGGATTTGGAACCGATTGGATTGTTAGTTTTTGAGTTATCGTGCCCGCCATTCGCAAAAAAATGTTTAGAGAAAAACGCGTTTAAAGTTTGAGAAGCCCTTCAGCCGTCACTTGATGCTGACACAATAAATCGGCTATATCTTCAAGAGTTCTTGAGATTTTCACTTGAAATTTTGTAGAGACATTCTTTAATCAGTGAAGATTCGAATTATATCAACAAAAATTTTGACCCCGCGAATGGGGGGTCCCCTTAAGGTAAATGGTGCACCAAAGTCCGAATATATTTTTCGATTTGCACGAAATTTGGCATAGCGTATTGAATTGAGTCTAGAATGATGTGTGCAAAGTTCCATGAAAATCGGTTCAGATTTAGATATAGCTCCCATATATATTTTCGTCCGATTTAAGACAAATGGTGCACCAAAGTCCCTATATATCTTTTGATTTGCACGAAATTTGGCACAGCATACTGAATTGAGTCTAGAATGATGTGTGCTAAGTTTCGTAAAAATCGGTTCAGATTTAGATATAGCTCCCATATATATATATATATATATATATATACGTCCGATTTAAGGTAGATGGTGCACCAAAGTCCGAATATATTTTTCGATTTGCACGAAATTTGGCATGGCGTACTGAATTGAGTCTAGAATGATGTGTGCTAAGTTTCATAAAAATCGGTTCAGATTTAGATATAGCTCCCATATATATTTTCGTCCGATTTAATGTAAATGGTGCACCAAAGTCCCCAAATATCTTTCGATTTGCACGAAATTTTGCATAGTGTACTCAATTAAGAGTAGAATGATGTGTGCTAAGTTTCGTGAAAATCGGTTCAGATTTAAATATAGCTCCCATATATATTTCCGTCCGATTTAAGACAAATGATGCACCAAAGTCCCTAAATATTTTTCGATTTGCACGAAATTTGGCACATGGTATTGAATTAAACCTAGAATGATGTGTGCTAAGTTTCGTGAAAATCGGGTCAGATTTAAATATATCTTCCATATATATGTTCGTCAGATTTAAGGTAAATGGTGCACCAAAGAACCTATATATTCTTCGATTTGCACGAAATTTGGCACAGCATACTGAATTGAGTCTAGAATGATGTGTGCTAAGTTTCGTAAAAATCGGTTCAGATTTAGATATAGCTCCCATATATATTTTCTTCCGATTTAATGTATATGGTGCACCAAAGACCCTCTATATCTTTCGAAATTTGCCACAGAGTACTGAATTAGGTCCAGAATGATGTGTACTATGTTTCGTGAAAATCGGTTCAGATTTAGATATAGCCCTATTTATATTTCGTCCGATTTAAGGTAAATGGTGCACTAAACGCCAAATTGAGACTTGAATGACGTTATTGGGTTTTGTTGAAATTGGTGCCGATGTAGCCATAGCTTCCATATGTATTTTGAACGGGTGTCTGATTGAGATTACATTTTTAACAGTGCGGCGTACCGAATAACATGTATCAATTTTGCTATAAATCGATTTGTCCCATGATACGCAGACGCCTCTAAATCTGCCCGAATGAAATTAAATTCATCATAGGTTGCAGAAAGACATCAGTATGTTTCCTTCGAGGGAACATTGACATACAATTGTATGATTACATATGTACAATATACCATATACAAAGTGGTGAAGGGTACCATATAGTGGGCCCAATCCAACATTACTTCTTTCCTTACTGGCTTTTAATTTTGCTTAAAAATTAAATATATTTTCTAAATCTGATTATTTTTTTTTTCGTTTCTTTCCAGGTCCTCCGAAACGTTGCCGTCGTCGTTTATAATGCCTTGGATTATAATTTACACGAAGATGAACAATGTCAAATGTCCCAGGAACTGGAGGAACTTATTACCCACATGACTGAAGATGGTAAGAATTATCTAAAAAAAATTATTATCAGGACTGGATCGAATTTGAAGAACATGAGTCTGGAAAAAAATTTATGAAAATTTCGAAAGGGAAAATTTTTATTTTTTTAATTTCCCTAATTTCCACAAAGAATAATAAATTGCGCATTTCATTCAATTGAAAATGTCCACACAATTCCATTAGGTTGGTGGGTGGTTTGGTTGTAAGCCATACCATCCCATCCACCCATCCATCCACACATGTGGTTGTTGTAATTAATTTAGATGTGACTTAATTGAAAAAAAACCTCACTGGCAGTTCTAGAAACCCTGACACTGACAATGACAAAATTATTACCATAACGTCAATCAGCCATTTCATAATTCTGAGCGAAACAAAACCAAAAAAAAAGAAAAACAAAACTATAATTCTCAAATTCCCTTTTTGTAATTCTTCCTCTTCTTATTGCCTTTCAGAAACCGAAGAAGACGATGATTGTATTGATGACTGCATCGATGAAGGCATTGACGAGGGCTACAAGCGTTGGGATGATGAACACGATGAAACCAAAGAATTCGATTATGTCTTAGAGGTAAGCGTTTCAAATAGATCAATGATATCGCGATCAAAAAGATCGAAGTGATATTCTAAGCAAATAAATAACGTTTAAATGAAAAGACACCGAGATTTTATATTGACAGATAATTTTATATTGTTTGCTTTTTTCCAAAGAAACCTCAAAGTGTTTCAAACACTTTTGTTTGTGGGTTATTGATTACCGGAATCACTTTTCTTTTTTAAACAAAAAAAAAATTTAAGCCTCTCTTCCATACCCTGTTTGGCATCCTCTCCCTCGGTGACTTTTAGGATCTCCGATTTTGTTACCTTGTAGGTTTGATGGATGCTCGAATGACATTTGATGTTTTTTGTACCTATTGTTTGTTGTTGTTGTGTATGACATTTGCAAGGTGTTAATTTAAATGACACGCGTCGTTCGGGGTTTCTCAGTTATTGCGCCTCATCATTATGTGTCAGTATTTTGAATGACAATTTTCATGTTTTCAAAACAAAGTGTTGAATTCTAGTAAAAATGACCGCAAATGTCATTCAAATTGGAAACATTTTGAATACAAACTTATAAAACCAATTTTACATTTATTTCAAGGTGTGAATTTTCTAAAAAATATTTTTAACAGATCCACACAAGGCGTGGATTTTTAAAGAATATTTTTCCAAACTTCCACACAAGGCGTGGATTTTTTAAAGAATATTTTTTTAAGCATCCACACAAGGCGTGGATTTAAAAAAATATTTTTTCAAGCACCCACACAAGGCGTGGATTTAAAAAAAAAATATTTTTTCAAGCACCCACACAAGGCGTGGACTTAAAAAAAATATTTTTTCAAGCACCCACACAAGGCGTGGATTTAAAAAAAATATATTTTTTCAAGCATCCACACAAGGCGTGGATTAAAAAAAATATTTTTTCAAGCACCCACACAAGGCGTGGATTTAAAAAAAATATTTTTTCAAGCACCCACACAAGGCGTGGATTTACTTACTTACTTAAAAAACATTTCCAAACGCGTCGATCTTGTGCGCATCTCCTCCAATTTGAAAGACCACGTTCCAAGATATTGCTTGCGCAAGTACCCATGCTTCAGATACATATAATAGCACGGGTAGTATTAGCGTCTTGTAGAGTGTGAGTTTGGTCTGGCGGGAGGTGCCTTATTTCTAAACTGCTCACTTAGACCATAGTAGCATCTGTGGACCATCACAATCCTTCTCCGAATTTCAAAACTGATGTCATTCGTTTTATTTATGGCGGTACCTACCAAGGTATATACAATCTTTAACTACCTCGAAGCTGTAGATCTCAAGTTCCACAGTTGGTCCGAGTCTATTGGACGTCTTGCGCATTGATAAAATCAGCTTGGTCTTCTCGCCGTTTACTGTCAGACCCACTTTGGCCGACTCCTTTTCAATTTGATCAAACGTGGCTGTTACCCCTCGCAATGTTCGACCCATTATATCGATGTCATCGGCGTAGGCGAGTAACATGTGTTGTTTGGTGTACAGAGTGCCATTTATGTTCACCTTTGCGTCTCGTATGACTTTTTCCAGCAGGATGTTAAAAAGATCACAAGACAAACTGCCACCTTGACTGAAGCCTCGTTTGGTATTGAAGGGCTCCGATAGGTCCTTTCCGACTTTAACTGCTGACCTTGTGCCACTTAAAGTTATCCTGCATAGCCGTATTAATTTTGCAGGAATGCCAAGCGCAGACATGGCTTTAGACACCTCTGAACGGATAGGTCTGTCGAATGCGGTTTTATAGACGACGAATAGATGGTATGTGTCGATGGGTTTTTTTCCGTGGGTCTTTTCCAGGATTTGGCGGAAAGTGAAAATCTGGTCAATGGTGGATTAGCAAGGTCTGAAGGCGCATTGGTATGGTCCAAAAATGTCATTGAATATTGGCTTCAGTCGTTCACACAGCACACTGGGTAGCACTTTATATGCGATGGGAAGAAGGCTAATTCCTCTATAGTTGGCACATATCGTCTTGTCTCCTTTTTTGTGCATGGGACGCAGGATTGGTCTTCAACCGATTAATTGCTATTCTGACCTCATCTTGGCTAGGTGATATACATTCTATACCGTCATCTCTTATTGCTTCTGGGATATCTTCTTCACCGCCACTATTTGATACCAGAAGCTTTTCAAAATTCTCCTTCCAGGTTTCATTCTTCATCTCTACAGGAGGATGTGCCTGCACCAAAATCTTCGGTTTGGTGATTTACTCGTTGGTAAAATTTCCGGACTTCATGCTGACTCCTGTACATCTCGATTTGCTCAAGCTCACGTTTTTCTTGTTCTTTCTTCTTTTTTCTGAAAATACGTTTCTCCTTTTCTCCCGATAGTTCTCCATCGCATTACGTGTTGCTACTGTCCGCAGGGTTTGCCCTATATGCTGCGTTTTTCATATCAGTAGCATTACGACACTCCTGATCGTACCATGGGTTTCTTGGCGGTGATTTTTGGTAACCAAGTGTTGCTTTTGCTGCAGTTTGTAGGGAGTGGGCAATTCTTAGCCATTGAACTTCTATACTATTATCGGGACAAGAAGTGCTTTCGTCAAGCAGGTGGGTAAGTTGAGCAGAGTAGGCCTCGGTTACCTGTTGTGTTTGCAGCTTTTCAACGTCGAGCTTCCGTGTTGTGTTAGATCCCACCTTTGCTGCAACATTAAGGCGAGTGCGAACTATGGCTGATACAAGGTAATGGTCCGAATCGATATTCACTCCTCGGATCGTCCGTCTATCACAACATGATCAATTTGATTTCTCGTTGCTTGATTAGGAGAAATCCAGGTGGCCTTGTGTATATCGAGATGCTTGAATCTGGTGCTGCTAACACCATATTTTTTGTTGCCGCGAAGTCAATCAACCTCATGCCGTTGTCAGATGTTTCTTCATGAAGGCTGAATTTTTCGACGGTGGGGCCAAATATATTTTCCCTTCCGATTTTTGCATTAAAATCTCCTAGCAAAATTTTAATGTCATGGCCAGGGCAGCGATCATATGATGTTTCTTTACGCATGGGCCCAAATTAGATTGATGTAGTAGAACTTCGCTTTTATGCGGATTATAGCAATTCGCTCATCTACTGGAGTGAATCTGGAGACGAGGTCTTTTATTCTTCTGTTAACCATAAATTCGCAGCCAAATTCATGTCCCATTTCATGGCAGCTATATTAAAGTGCGTAATCGTCTGAAAATAGCTACCCCAGGTGACACCGCGGGGAGGTCAGTGTCCACAATTGAAATGAAAGAGGGACCAAGATAAGCCTGGACTTCGCCATGTTAAAGACAATCAGAGCCGTTGCTTGGTATCTATCATCCCCTACGTTTTAAAGAATATTTTTTTAAGCTTCCAAACAAGGCGTGGATTTTATATTAGTCTCGTACTTTACATTTCTCGCTTTACAAATTACAAATTCCAATTACTTCCCATGACTATACAAACATTTTTTTGCTATTACTGTCTTAATTTTTTTCCTGGAATCATAGTTGTTTTTTAAGTAGACCTCTATCACTGAGCACATGCATGTAATGCTGGTTTTTTTCTCAAGACCAATTTGAGAAAATCTGAGCTTGAGTCTTTCTTAAATAAATCCAATTATTTAATCACAAGTGTAATTTTTCAATTTTTGAGGTTACATTTTACAAATATTAGATGCTGAAATTACATAAAGAGAATGAGAAGAAAAAACATTTAGCCTCAGTTGGCTTCCATAGTCCAGTGCTCGCATCTCTCTACCTCTTGACAACAGCACTAAATGATCCATATCCCCCACCTAAAGTCGGTTAATAACAAATATTATTATTTGTCTACCCACTGATCGTATTTGTTTAACTTGTTCACACTCCACATCCATCCATCGAACCACCCAACCATCCATCGATCCACCGATCCATTCGAACGAACACACACACCGTACAACTGAGTTGCGGATAATTGTGGCAGAGATAAATTGTGTAAATATGTTACGCATGATTGTTTTGGCTTTTAACCACATAGGGAAGTGATTTAATAATACCACCGACTGCTGCTGCAACAACAACAACATCATTATTTAACGAGACTATGTTGTTGTTGTAATGGATGTAATACTAGCCAAGTTTTGTTTTAATCACTAACGTCAAGAACGTCAGTTTTTCTGTTTCGTTTTTGTTTTGCCATGACTTTGGTATGAAATTTCTTCCGTTCGGAAGTTGGGTTTCAAAATACCACAGCACGAAATGAAAAATGTAGATTAATATGTAATCGAATTAATGGAAAATTGCGACTACATATCAATGTGGAGTTAAATAAGATATGAAAGAGAGATGAATTGCAATTTAAAAAAAATCCATGCAAGGCTTGGATGCTTAAAAAAAATTTCTTTAAAAAATCCACGCCTTGTGTGGATGCTTAAAAAAAATTTCTTTAAAAAATCCACGCCTTGTGTGGATGCTTGAAAAAATTTCTTTAAAAAATCCACGCCATGTGTGGATGCTTAAAAAAAAATTCTTTAAAAAATCCACGCCTTGCGTGGATGCTTAAAAAAAATTTCTTTAAAAAAAACACGCTTTGTGTGGATGCTTAAAAAAAATGTCTTTAAAAAATCCACGCCTTGTGTGGATGCTTAAAAAAATTCTTTAAAAAATCCACGCCTTGTTGTAGGTTCTTAAACAAATATCCTTTAAAAAATCCACGCCTTGTTGTAGGTCCTTAAAAAAATATCCTTTAAAAAATCCACGCCTTGTTGTAGGTCCTTAAAAAAATATCCTTTAAAAAATCCACGCCTTGTTGTAGGTCCTTAAAAAAATATTCTTTAAAAATCCACGCCTTGTTGTAGATCCTTAAAAAATTATTCTTTAAAAATCCACGCCTTGTTGTAGGTCCTTAAAAAATATTCTTTAAAAATCCACGCCTTGTTGTAGGTACTTAAAAAAATATTCTTTAAAAATCCACGCCTTGTTGTAGATCCTTAAAAAAATATTGTTTAAAAATCCACGCCTTGTTGTAGGTCCTTAAAAAATTATTCTTTAAAAATCCACGCCTTGTTGTAGGTCCTTAAAAAATATTCTTTAAAAAATCCACGCCTTGTTGTAGGTCCTTAAAAAAATATTCTTTAAAAATCTACGCCTTGTTGTAGGTCCTTAAAAAAATATTCTTTAAAAATCCACGCCTTGTTGTAGGTCCTTAAAAAAATATTCTTTAAAAAATCCACGCCTTGTTGTAGGTCCTTAAAAAAATATTCTTTAAAAATCCACGCCTTGTTGTAGGTCATTAAAAAAATATTCTTTAAAAATCCACGCCTTGTTGTAGGTCCTTAAAAAAATATTCTTTAAAACTACATGTCAGCTAAGCCTTCTGTTGGCCCCCCCTTCCGTTGGTAGGTCGTACCCTGCAATTTTTTTTTTTTTTTTTTGTAATATCCACTCCGTGAAAGAAAAATCTCCATAAATTCACAATTTTCCCTACTGTCAAAACAGTTCAAGTTTTTCTTACGTTGTTGTTATTGTTTCACCTTATGAAATGTGTGAATCTACATAGCTTAGTGTGTATGTGTGTGAGTGTGTTTTCATTTTCACACCTAAGTGATATTTCTATAATGCAGCTGACATTTTTCTAATATTTTTCTGTGGTTTCTCACAGAAGATCTGAGGAAGAGGCAGCCGGCTGTCAGTCAGTCAGGCAGCCCACAATGATACGCTTAATGCAATGACAACAACAACAAAAACAACAGCAACAATGATTATCGCCTTAGCGTAAACAAAAAAACTAGGGGGATTATCCATCCAACCAACTATCCATAATGATGATCTCTAAATACCCAACCGAACGACCGACCGACCAAACAAATCCACCCAGCAACCAAACCCATTTGCAACTGAAACTTGTCAACACTTTGGTTTAGTTTTGGTTTGAAAATGGATCTCCAAAGATGAACTGAATGTTCCGCTACCTTAGCTACCTACAAACCTCACTATCATTACGATGATGATGACGGTGGTGGTGCTGGTGGAGATCATCATCCAATTGCATGGCTTGTTGGGGTTTCTTTAAATCATATTTCCTTGTAGTTTTGCAAAAACAAAAAAAACAACAACATGTCATTTTATTGTTTCGCTTCTGCTGCTTCTTCTTCCACATAAAAGTTTTACAAAATTACTTAATAAGTGTTAAATTACCATAAAACTATTTGTATTGTCATTTGCCACTGCATCATAGCCTCCATCCGCCACCTACCTCCTCCAGTCTCGAAGTCATCTCTCATTACCTTCAATTTGTCTTGGTTAAGGTTCTTTTTCTGTTGTTGTCATTGCTGTTGTTGTTGCCATCTACACCTGATACTCAGAACTAAAGACGTAGATTTTATGCAAGACTGGTGATCTGCAATTTTTTTTACCTTCTTCCTAACTCCGCCACTTTGTCTTTCTTTAGGTTATGTTTTTGTTTCCTGTTTTATTTTGTATTTCTCATACCTTTCTATAATTTGTTGTTTTATCTGCTTGTTCTCTTCTATCTATTTTTCAGGCCTGCAGAAATCACATAAAACCAACTGTACCTGAAGAACACTATAAAGCGGTGTGTCGAGCTTTAGTAACCGAAACCTTAGAATTGCGAATATTTTTGCAACAAGTTTTGAATAGTGGTAAGTAGCAGCTATTTTTTGTTTGTCTGTGAAAAAATGTTAAAAAAATCCAAGCCTAAAAATTGGGCTTAAAAAGGTATAAAAAACCCAATGGGCGAAGCAGTATAGTCAGACGGTGCCGACCATATGATACCTTACACAACATTCATGAAAATCGAACTTTCTATGGTTCTATATTCTGAGATTGGACTATATTTCGCTTATACTGGCACCCCATTGACCGGCTAGAGGTCAACAAATATTACTTGTCCAGATTCCCTTCACCGTGGGTTCTGTTTTGATGTTCGGCTTTCGACTCGAAAAGTACAAATAATTAAGTTTTCGGTCTACTTCATCCGAAAAATTATTATCTGAGGTCAAGCACTCCTCTTGGATATACTATCAACTTCTCGGGTCTAAGTCCTACAGGGGTAAATATATAAGCTATAGAATATAAATTTTATAATTTTTCACACAAAAGTCTGGGTCCATTTTACCCGCTAAATATTGACCTAAAGATCAAAACAGGTATGCTTATTCTTTGGCCCGATTCCCTTCTCCATGTAAAAATTCGCGATGTTTGGTCCAAAATTGCAGCCTCTAGAGCAACCAGAAAAACCAACAAAAATTCAGTATTTGGTCCATTTCAACCCCTTAAATATTAACCGATTATTACCAAAAACAATAGGGGTCTTCATTGGGCAGAACCCATCCTATATGCAAAATTTCGTGATGTTTGGTCCACAACTGTGGCCTGTATCGTGGTTACAAATTATAATGGACAGACGGACGGACACACATGTCTAGATCGACTCAGCTAGTCGAGATATGGCGATCGGTATACTTAAAGGTGGGTCTATGACCAATAATTCGCGGCTTTACAAACTCTTGGGACTATAAAAGCTATAATACCCTGACAACATAGTTGCGTAGGGTATAAAAATTAACCCTAATTTTGGTAATGAAAATTTATTTTTCAAACATCCTCAACTAAGAATTGGTCTTAAAAAGAATTTTTAAAAAATCAGTGTTAAAAGTTAGTCTTGAAAAAAATTAAATTTATTAAAAATCCATGCCCTCTACAAATGTTTAAAAAAAGCACCATGTTTTTTTTAAGCTTACAGGGAGCGGTTTACAATTCGAGAACCTACTGCAGATCTTCTATTCTTAACATTTCTCCATAAAATTTAAGTTGTATGTGTTATGAAATCTTCTTACTATAAAAAACTTTTTGAAGAAGTGTATTTGACGGTCGGTGACTAATGCCAATCATCGACGGATAACCTCAAACTAATACACCATGGCCTATCGTCGCTATCTGATATTCTATATAAAATCCATTGCAAGCGACTAAATCTAAGTTGGGCGACTCAATCTAAATTAAGACCCCACGCTAATGAATCACAAGGGCATAAGGTGCCAGACTATAAACCAATAAATTACAGCGGAACAGGAAAAATTAAAAAAATTAAAAATCACTGACATTGACATAAGATAGCGCCACCCAGAGGAAAATTGCCAAACTAAATAAACAAGGACCTCAACAACTGCACAAAAATTCAAGGAAACGTTTCTTTTAGGCAACTACAGATGCCATCCCCAATACTTAGGACCAGGCTACAGAAGACCATTTTTAAAAGCAAAGAAAAAAACCTATCGCCGAATTCACTTTGGACGCAACCCGCTGAAGTTGCAGCATTCCTAAATTTGGAGGTAGAAGATGCAGAGCCAGACGATGCATGACAAAACGACATGTATTCTGTTGCTACAACAACAACAACCATATCAGAAAATCCATCGAGGCGTTGTATCTAGGCAACGATAGGTGGCAGTCCTCAAACAGCTGAGATATGCTACAGCAGACCAATCATCCACTTAACTGGAATTAAAAAACCAATGAACTGGTTAACAAAACTAATAAAATAGCTAATCGATTAGGATCACGATGCTTTGTGGAAATCCCATCTTCCAAAGAGAAGTAACAAAAGAAAATAACGTTACGATGTAATGATGTTCGTTTGTTAACAGAATAACTCCTGACAGTTCTTCTAATAATTCCTGATGTTCTTCTAATAATAAACGGTCATGAGGAAAACACAAACTAGGAATTGTATGTCATATCGCCACTCAGAGGAGAATCGTAACCTAAATAAGCAAGGACTCCAACCACACAAAACAGGCGGGTTTTTCTTTGCAACGATAGATGGGGACGCCATCACCTAGGACAGGCTACAGCCTATTATCTACTTAACTGTAATAAAAAACAATGATGAACGAAATTATGGTCCCAATGGGGGAAACAGAAGGAAAAAGCGATGTCTTGAAGTTATGTCATTAACAAAATAACTCCCGAGAATCTTCAGCTCATAGAATACTTTCTGTTCTTCTAAAATTTTAAAAAACACTCACGAGGATAACACAAAATATAAATGTCGAGATATAGCGCCACCCGCCAGAGGAAATGGTCAATACCAAATAAGCGAGGATCCCAACCATTACTCAGAATTCAAGTATACAGTGTTTCTAGGCAACGATAGATGGCAGGCCCATCATCTAGAACAAGCTACGACGGATAAATTATCTATTTAACTGCAATAAAAACAGCAATTATTGACGAAACTGACACAAGAACGGATCGATGTTTTGTGGAATCCCTTTGGTCCCAATAGGAGAAAACAAAGTTGCGATGTTTTGATGTATATTTTTTTAAATAACTCTTAAGAGTCGTCAGACGATGGAGATAACTTCCTGTGGTCCTTCTATAGATAGAAAGCCTTCTTGTGGTTCAAATGCAGATTGTATAAAAAATGTATTTGTAATAAAAAGTGACCTGCTAATAGTCTTCTATCAGAATGATCATTTATCTTTAGAAAAATCCCGTTCAAAAATAAAAACAGAGAACTAATTAAGCAAAGACATGAGTCACATTTTTAACATAGTATTAACAGAGCTCTGTTATCATTAACATAGCTACATAAATGTAGATGATGTACCATGTTCTATGTGGATTGCCATCTAGCGCTGCCTAGAAACATCACCTGCTTGAATTAAGAGCATTGGTTCGGATCACTGCTCATGTAGCACTGTCATTTTCCTCTGGATGGCGCAATCTCCTATCATTCCTATTCTGTGTTATCCTCATGCCTAGGTTGGTTGTTAGAACATCTGGAGGGCTTCGAATACATTTCATTTGGAGGAAAATTAAAGTATCTTTCTATAAAAAATCGAAAATCACTTTGAAAGAATTATTCTTCCGAAATTCGAATCCAGAGACTCATCGACTTGTAGTCCAATAAATTTAGACGTTGCATTTATAATTTAATTTATTTATTTCCTCCTTCTTAATTATTACAAATATTCCCCCAATTAAAAATATTATTAATTAATAATATAATTAATTTTGTATTTGCATTTTCTTCCCTCCCCTTTGCAGATGCTGATAATTTACATTTAAAAGCTGATTTCCAAACATCACAGCAGGAGTTGGCCAAATTTGATTTCAATGATTGGGTAAGTACAGCGGGGAATTTTAAGTGATTTTTTATACACAATACTAAAACGAGTAAACAACCACAATAACAAAACATTAATGAACAATTTATAATAGTTAAGCCGGGGGTTTTCATAAGTGAGTCATAAATCAAAATCCTGTCTTATCCATCATTGGCGTGGTGTGGTCGTCGTCATCATCATGAATTCCAGTCATACGAAAATGAAGATTTATGGAGTGTTGTAACACACGCATGATGGGTTACGGGGAGGAAGGGAGTGAAGGTAGGGGTAAGGATGGACAACGATTTTTCTTAAATAAAATATATTAAATTCACATTGTTGTAAATTTTCAAATATTGTTTTTATTGTGTACCTTCCTCCATAAGATTAAGAGTATATTAAGTTTATATATTCTTGAGCGGAATAAACTTATATGTAGGTTTATCAAAGTATTCATATCACTATAGAACTCACAATATTTAAAATAGAGCTTCGGAATTTTTCACATACATTGCTACTACTTCTAGCATGTTTGGTATTGGAAATGAGATTAACGGTCCATATTTTGTACATAGCCTCCATGTAGCGGAACTCTCCAATATATTTGTTATATTGGGAATATCGGACTCGATTTTTAATCGAATTGACCATATATATGAGTATTTCCCAAATTTCGATATTTTGGGGATATTGGACACTTTTCTCCAAACAAATTGGGTGTAATTTTGTATTTTGGAATTCTCACGGGGTAGTTAATATTTCTACCAAAAATTGTCAATATTGGTCTAGTTTTTAGGGTAGCCCCAATAGAAGGGTATCTCCCAAATTTCGATATTTTGGGGAGCTTGAGCTCATTTTTCAACCAAATTGGCTGTAATTGAATATTTTGGATTTTCATTAGGTAAAAAATCTCTCTACCAAACATAATTAATATTGAACCACGTTTTATGGTATCCCCCATATAAAGGTATCTCCCGAATTTCGGCATTTGGGGAGCTTGGGCACAATTCTCAGCCACATTGACTGTAATTTGATTGGTTTCCAACCAGAGTGGGAAGCTTCAGTTAATTTTTCAATCAAATTGTCTGTAATTTAGTATTTTTTTTTATTGGATAGTAAATCGCCTTACTAAAAATTATGAATATCGTTCCACGTTTTGGTATAGCTTCCATACAACGGCACCTCAATTTTCGGGATTATAGGCAGAGTTATTCACCGAATTGGCTGTAATTAGGTATTTTGAATTCTTATTGAGTATCAAAACTTCATACCAAAAGCGATCAATATTGGTTCACTTTTATGGTAGTCTACATACGATGGTACCTTCCGAATTTCTGTATTTTAAGGAGCTTGAGCTCATTTCTCAACCAAATTGGCTGTAATTTGGTATTTTGGATTTTCATTGGTTAGCAAATCTTCCTACCAAAAATTATTAATATTGGTCCCCTTTTTATGATAGCCCCCATATAACGGTACCTTCCGAATTCTGAATTCTTGGGATTTTCGTAGCGTTTTTCAATCAAATTGTCTTCTTCTCCCGAATATCTATATCTATATTCTGGGGATTTTAGATGCGTTTTCAAATCCAATTATCTGCAATTTGGTATTTTGGGTTCTCATTGCATAAGAAATTGTCATACCAAAAATTATCGATATTGGTCCGCTTTTTAAGTGCGAATTTCTGTATGTTGAGGATTTTAGGTGCGTTTTCCAATCAAATTGTCTGAAATTTAGTATTTTAGGTTCTCGTATATCAAAAATAATCAATATTGGTCACCCTTTTAGGGACGACCCCATATAGGGGCACCTTTCTAATATCCTTATTCTGAGTATTTTAAGGTTCGTTTTTCATTCGAATTGTCTGCAATTTGGTCTTTTGGGTTCTCGTTGGGCAGAAAATCCCCATAACAAAAATTATCAATATTGGTTTTCATTTTAGGATAGTCCCCATATAAGGGTACCTTCCGAATATCTGTATTCTGGAGATTTTAGGCGCGTTTTTCAATCAAATTGGTTATTTTTCGATTCTCATTGGGTAGCAAATCTTCATTCCAAAAATTATCAATATTGGGAAAAGATTCAGGGTAGAGCACATATAACGGTACCTATCAATCTTCGATATTTTTGAGAGCTTGGGTACGTTTTTCATTAAAATCTCCCTACCAAAAATTATCAAGATTGGTCGACATTTTGAGGTAGTCCCCATACAGCGGTACCAGTCAATTTTCTATATTTTTGGGGGCTTAAGTAAGTTTTTGATTAAAATGTTGCTGTAATTTAGTATTTACGGTTATCATAGTGTGTCCAACCTCTCTACCAGAAATAATCAATATCGATTCACATGTTTGTATATTTCCCACATAAGGGTACCTTCCGAATTTTGATATTTTAGGATGCTGGGACACATTTTTTCAACTAACCTGACTGTACATTTTTTATTTTGTGTTCTCCCTGGGTAGCAAATCTCCCTACCAAAAATGTTCAATATAGGTCTATGTTTTCATATAGGCTAGGCATATATCGATTCCGACAAATTTTGGTATTTCGAGGATTACGAAGTGGCTGTAATTTGATACTTCTCGTCTTTGTTCAACAAAACTTCCGGCTCTAAAACTACTCTGTAGATTTTAAACCCCTACAAGTCCATACGCCTGTATCCTATTTTTACATAGTCTCCCATACAAAAAGTTCATTCATAATTTTCGGTGTTTTCAGGGTCCTAGTCCAATTTTCCGACCCGAGGTTTTGTAGTTTGGTATTTCGTTTCTCCCGGCAACAATTTGCAAAAGACATAGACCCCATATTAAAGTTCCGATTGATTTTGGATATATTGAATATCATCCACCTCATCGTGTATGTTATAATAAGTTCGACCCTGCCGAACTCAACGAAGTCGACGTGTTTTTTTTTTTTTTTTTTTTTTGTTTTTTTTGCTGGCGTTATTGTTTCGTATTTGTATTTATTGTAATGATTACCCCACATTTGGCACTCCTTGATTTAATTTTTTCATTATTTTTGTGAGGGGCTTATTTTCTTCTTCTTCGGTCTTTCACTCTTCTTTTTTCTTCGGGTAGGCTGTTTTTCCTCTCGGAGGTGGTATGATGACCTCCATTGTGGAATTCATTATCATTGTAAACTATTTATTTAACGGATTGATATGCCTTTTTATTAGTGTTACAATTTTTTTGGTGTTGGGCAGTATTGGATTGCGTGTTTTCAGGGTAAATAAATAATTTGAGTTTTTTTTTTTTTTTTCTTCGGCTCCCACCAAAATTTCTTCTCTTCGTAAAATTAAGACTGTGATTTTTATGAGACCACACGTGTCTGATGGGTCGGACTGGCGGCATATTGATATTTATTGCGTGTGTATTGTTTTGGTGATTTATTAGCCATGTGTTAAGAAGGTAATTAGGTGGGAAGGGGTGGGTATTTAATTTTATTTTTTTGCGATAAGGACATTTTTAGAACAATAAAAAAATTATTTTTCATTCGAAATAAATTCTAAGATTTTGTGGAATTTAAAAAAACGATTTGTTTTAAAATTATAAAACCCAATACACATAATTGTCAAAATTGTCATATCAATTTTTATGCCACCCAAATTTTTTCAGCCATTCGTCCCCGACCCACAATTCGTAATCTATGTCCCACTCTTTGAAAATCAATTCCCATATAAACCATGTTCACTGTGTGAACGAAAATCCATAACCAAAAACACTTTCGAACTCCTTTGAAACCGAACTTTTTGTTTTGGGATTATCTTTTCCAAAACAAAATGCTCACCATGCAACAAAAAAAATTGCCGTCAGTCTCTAGTTTTTTGGGATTGCGTAAAAATTACTGCACCGACAAAAAATAAAACAAAAATCCAACAGAATTATAATGTGCGGAATATTTGTCAACGCTCAAACCAAAACAGAAAAAAATACAATTTTCTGTATAATGCGCATGCCTGCCTGCCTGACAGCCACTCAGATTTAATGCGACGACTGCGCAAATGGCGCTCAACAAAAATGTGTCATTGTGCTTAAGAAGCAACAAAACAGAAAAAAATCAAAAAAAAAAACGTCACACAAAAGCCTGAATGCATTTCAAATAATTTTTTTATGATTATTTTGTACGGTTATGAGCTTTGAAAAAAAATCAAAAAACAAAAAAAAACTGACAGGCAAAATAATATCTCATGTGGCAGTAATTTTTGTGACAGGTTTCTGTTTAACCTTTCAATGGATTTTATAATATGGGGGTCTATTTGGGACCACGATAAAACCCTTGGTGAACATCTTCAAAACATTTTTTTTTTAAGATCCACGTCTTGTGTACTTACTTACTTAGCTAGCATGTGACAGAACTTTCGTTCCAAAAGCCGTGCTTAAAAAATATTTACAGGCGCGTCGGTCTTTTGCGCAACTTTTCCAATTTGAAAGACCACATTCGGCAATGTTGTCTTCCACTTGATATTTCAATCTGCTTTGTGAATGCCTTCCGTCTATCACAACATGATCAATTTGATTTCTCGTTGCTTGATCAGGACAGATCCAGGTGGCATTGTGTATATCGAGATGCTTGAATCTGGTGCTACTAACTACTATGTTTTTTGCTGCCGCGAAGTCAATCAAGCTCATGCCGTTGTCGGATGTTTCTTCATGAAGGCTGAATTTTCCGTCGGTGGGGCGAAAGATATTTTCCCTTCCGATTTTTGCATTAAAATCTTCTAGCAGAATTTTAATGTCATGGCCAGGGCAACGGTGATATGCTGTTTCTAGGCGCTCGTAAAATATGTCTTTGGTCTGTTCATCTTTATCTTCGGTCGGATCATGGGCGCAAATGAGACTGATGTAGAAGAACTTCGCTTTTATACGGATTATAGCAATTCGCTCATCTACTGGAGTGAATCTGGAGACGAGGACTTTTCTGCTCCTATTAACCATAAATCCGCAGCCAAATTCATGTCTCGTTTCATGGCCGCTATAATACAGGGCCCTTGTTTATAGGCCTTAAAAAATATTTTTTAAAAA